CCTGCAAATCCCAACACTTTGGGAGGCTGAGGCGGGCGGATCACGAGGTCAGGAGTTCAAGACCAGCCTGGCCAACATGGTGAACCAGGGAGTCAGAAGTTGCCGTGAGCCATGATGATGCCACTGCACTCCCGCCTGGTGACAGAGGGAGATGTCGTCTCAAAAAAAGAAAGAAAGAAAGAAAAAGTGGTCCTTCCAGGGGGACACAACTTGGGAAGCAGATGAGGCAAGGTGGGCGCTCCAGCACGAGGCGTCATTTTCACAACAATGCCTGAAGACTCTGGTTCCTTTCTTTCTTCTTTTCAATCTGCAGAAGTCTCTTTTTTTTTTTTTTTTTTGAGACAGGGCCTCACTCTTTTAGCCAGAGTGATCTTGGCTCACTGCAGCCTCCCCCTCCAGGGTTCAAGCGATTCCCATGCCTCAGCCTCTCAAGTAGCTGGGATTACAGGTGTGTGCCAACATGCACAGCTAACTTTTGTATTTTTAGTAGAGACAGGGTTTCACCATGGTGGCCAGGCTGGTCTTGAACTCCTGACCTCAAGTAATACACCTATCTTGGCTTCCCAAAGTGCTGGGATTACAGGCATGAGCCACCACACCTGGCTGAGACTCTGGCTCCTTTCTAGGAGTCCTTAACCTGATGACCACCAACTCCCGCAGTGGGAGTCCCCCAAAGCACATCATTCATTCATTCATTCATTCATTCATCCAACAAATATTTATTAAACAACTACTATGTGTCTGGCACACTTCTAGGTCCTACGGAGGTGGCACTGAGAAAGCACAAAAACTTTTCTGCTTTCAAATCAGGCAAAATGCCAGTAATTGTTAAATATGGCCAGAGGCGGTAACAGATGTTCATTGTCATTATGTCTTTTTTCTGTGTTTGAAAGTTTTATTGAAAATAGAAGTTAGAAGAAAAAATGTTTGTCTTCTAAGAGACAGACAATAAATAAGGGGTGTATGTGTGTTGGTGTTAAGTGCTACAGAGAACATAAAACAGGAATGAGGGTTGGCAAGTATATATGGAAATTCCAACTTGAAATAGGGTCATACCAGGAACTCCTCACTGAGAAGGTAACTTTTGAATAAAGCACTGAAGGAGAGAAGGGAATGATCCAGACTGCTTTCCTGACAAACAGATGTCCTGGCAGCAGGGACAAAAGAGGCAAAGGCCCCGAGGCCAGAACATGGCCAGTATTTTCCAGGAATAGCGAGGAAGCAAGTGTGTGGCTGGAGCAGAGACAGGGTGCCAGGAGTTGGGGGCAAGGTCAGAGTGGAAAGGGGAGGGGGCAGGCAGATCACACAGGGCCCTGAAGGCCGGAAGGGCTTTGGCTTTTACCCGAGTGACCAGGGGAGGCCCTGGAGGGTGAGTCAAGAGTGACAGAAGCTGACTTGTGTAGGGTAATGAGTAGGCACCCTTTGGAGGCGAGGGTCTCTAGAGCTCCCATTAGACACTCAGGGCAGTCCAGACCCCTACAAGGCTAAAAACCAGTGTGATGGCCAGGCACGGTGGCTCACACCTCTAATCCCAGCACTTTGGGAAGCCACAGGCCTGCGGATCACTTGAGGTCAGGAGTTCAAGACCAGCCTGGCCAACATGGTGAAACCCCTGGTCTCTACTAAAAATACAAAAAATTAGCCGGGCGTGATAGCTCGCGCTTGTAATCCCAGCTACTCAGGAGGCTGAGGCAAGAGAATTGCTTGAACCCGGGAGGCGGAGGTTGCGGTGAGCTGAGATCGCACCACTGCACTCCAGCCTGGGTGACAGAGTGAGACTCTAGTCTCAAAAACAAACAACAAACAAACACAGTGTGAGGTGCATTTGCCGTTCAAATTTTGCCGCTACCGGGTCTCGGCAGGAAGGGGCGGGCACTGCCTAGTCGCTAGGCTGGGGTGGCGCGTTGCCATAGCGACCCTGGCCAGGCCCGCGGCGCGCGCAGCTGGAGGAGGTTAAGTCTGGAGGCTGCGACCCCCGCCGGTAAGCGCAGGTGAGCCGAGCGCAGGTGGGGCAGGGCCAGGACTCCCGACTGACACCAAGCCGTCTGGGCCCCGCCCCCCTTCCATTGAGGTCCTTTTTTTTTTTTTTTTTTTTTTTTTTTTCCTCCTGGAGACAGGGTCTTGCTCTGTCGCCTAGGCTGGAATGCAGTGGCGCTGATGATAGCTCATTGCAGTCCTGACCTCCTAGGCTCAAGGGATCCTCCAACCTCAGCCTCCCGAGTAGCTGGGGCTACAGGTCTGCACCACCATGCCAAGCTAATTTTCTTATTTTTTGTAGAGACGAGGTCTCACTATGGTTGCCCAGGCTAGCCTCCATCTCCTGGACTCACAATCCTCTCGCATCGGCCTCCCAAAATGCTGGGATTGCAGGCATCAGCCCATGCGGCCAGGCTGGTCTGTAATTCGGCACCAGAACAACCTGGGCAGACTTTCATTTCCTGTCAACAGCTCACGTGTTAAGACCACAGCCTCCTCTGGAGTAGAACCTAAGTTACCTAAAGTGTGGGATGGAGGGTGATTTGAGGTTACACTGATGAGGTGTGAAGTAACACCCAATGACATCATAGGAAAGTTATTTGAGTCTGGGTTCTCTTACAATTCTGAGCAAGCCAAGGAGAGTCGGTTTGATGATCACGTGGCATTAACACCTCTTTTAACATTTGCTAATCTCTCTTTTTTTTTTTTTTAGTAGACGGGGTTTCACTATGTTGGCCAGGATGGTCTCAATCTTATGACCTTGTGATCCACCGAGGCCTGCCTCGGCCTCCCAAAGTGCTGGGATTACAGGCATGAGCCACCTCACCCGGCCACTAATCTCTATTTTTAACAGAGACCTTGGAGCCCAGCCAACTCTAAGGCAGCATCTAGCTAAGAGTTAAGTTGTTTCTTCCAATGTTTTTATTTTTACATTTATCATTGCCTTAGGGTACCTACTACTGGTTTTCTGTTTATAATAATGATATGTAGGCTGGGTGTGGTTGTTCACACCTGTAATCCCAGCACTTTGGGAGGCTGAGGAGGGTGTATAATGAGGTCAGGAGATTGAGATCATCCTGGCTAACATGGTGAAACCCTGTCTCTACAAAAAATACAAAAAAATTAGCTGGGCGTGGTGGCACGTGCCTGTAGTCCCACCTGCTCAGGAGGCTGAGGCAGGAGAATCACTTGAACCCAGGAGGCAGAGGTTGCAGTGATCCAAGATCGAACAATTGCACTCTAACCTGGTTGACAGAGTAAAACTCTATCTCAAAAAAAAAAGAGAAAAAATGTAAAATCTCTTTTCTTCTTCCCCTGCCCCCAACCCAGACAGAGTTTTATTCTGTTTCCCAGGCTGGAGTGCAGTGGCACAATCTTGGCTCATCGCAACCTCTGCCTCCTGGGTTCAAGTGATTCTCCTGCCTCAGTTTCCCAAGCAGCTGGGATTACAGACATGTGTCACCACGCCCAGCTAATTTTTGTATTTTTGGTTGAGGCAGGGTTTCAGCATGTTGGCCAGGCTAATCTCGAACTCCTGACCTCAGGTGATCCGCCCACCTCAAGCTCCCAAAGTGCTGGGATTACAGGCGTGAGGCACCACGATCGGTCTCTTCTTTTTTGAGACGGGGTCTTGCTCTGTCGCCCAGGCTGGAGTGCAGTAGTTCAATCTCGGCTCACTGCAGCCGCTTCCTCCCAAGGTCAAGCGATTCTCCTGTCTCAGCCTCCCGAGTAGCTGGGACTGCAGGTGTGGGCCACTACACATGGCTAATTTTTGTATTTTTAGTAGACCAGTTTTCACCATGTTGGCCAGGCTGATCTTAAACTCCTGACCTCAGGTGATCCACCTTCCTCGGCCTTCCAGATCGATGGGGTGACAGGCATCCATCTGCCCTCCTTTTTTCAACATGAGTTGATTTTTTAAAGTGAGTTAATTTATTTTTATTTTACTTTTTTCTTGAGAGAAGTTCTCACTCTGTCATCCGGGCCAGCCTGGCATGATCTCGGCTTACTGCAACCTCTGCCAAGTCAGTTAATATACACATAAAGATTAATAATAGTACAGGCAATACTTGGAAATGGAAGGGGAAAAATCCCAAAGGTATTGAATTTAGGACCTGAGACTGCTTCCCTACTCTCAGCTTGGGCTCTGCCTGTTTTCTTCACCTGGAATGATTTTCCCTACTCCTAGGTGTGATTGTCAAAATATGCAATCCATATTTTGGGTTCACATTTTGGACTCATATTTGGCTCACTGGCTCATGCCTGTAATACCAGCACTTGGAGATGCTGAGGCGGGTGGATCATTTGAGGTCAGGAGTTCAAGACCAGCCTGGCCAACATGGTGAAACCCCATCTCTACTAAAAATACAAAAATTAGCTGGGCATGGTGGTGGGCACCTGTAATCCCAGCTACTTGGGAGGCTGAGGCACGAGAATTGCTTGAACCCAGGAGGCAGAGTTTGCAGTGAGCCGAGATGGTGCCACTGTACTCTAGCCTGGGAGACAGAGTGAGATTCTGTCCCAAAAAATAATTAGTAAGACAGGGCACGGTGGTTCACGCCTGTAATCCAGCACTTTGGAAAGTCAAGGCAGGCAGATCACAAGGTTAGGAGTTCGAGACCAGCCTGGCCAACATGGTAAAACCCCATCTCTATTAAAAATACAAAAATTAACCAGGCATGGTGGTGGGTGCCTGTAATCCCAGCTACTTGGGAGGCTGAGGCGGGAGAATCACTTGAACCCAGGAGGTGGAGGTTGCGATGAGCCAAGATTGTGCCATTGCACTCCAGCCTGGGCAACAAGAGCAAAACTCCATCTCAAAATAAATACATTAATTCAATGAGAAAAAAGTAAATAAAAATAAATACATATTTAGAAGATATGAAAAATATATATATTATTCGTGTGACTCCCCCAACCCAGTGGGCACAGCTCCCCCTTGATGCCATCACAAACCCTCCTGCTCTACTGGTCTCCCTGGATTCCTAATCGATTGTGCCATCAGAACCCCTGGGAGGGGGCCCCAGGAGAGGCAAGGGAGTGGCCAGCCAAAGGTCCATCCAGCACTCAAGGACCCCACCAAGGGCTGGTCACCTGCCCAGGGACTCAGAACACATGAGTCACCCTACGTGAGCTCAGGATCCTGGCAATACACAGGCACGCTGAGCCCTGATGTTCCTAATCCCTCTCCAGCACCCTCCAGCCTTGCAGAAGCAGCCACCATGCCAGTGTCTAAGTGCCTGAAAAGGTCGGAGCCCCTGTGGAAGGGGTGGGACCGGAAGGCCCAGAAGAACGGCCTGCGGTACCAGGTGTACGCTGTGAACGGCGACTACTATGCGGGCGAGTGGAAGGACAACTTGAAACACGGTGAGCGGGCACTCTGGGGACGCGCAGCCAGAGTGGCTCGGAGCCATGGTGGGCCACAGGGCCAGGAGGGCAGCGTGCATGGCTCACTGGGGACATGAGATGTGTCCTCAAGGTTCCCCAGGGTGAGTGCTGGCCCCGGCCAGCTGGGGCCTCTGACCCAAACTCACCCCTGCCTTCGGCGGAGCGAGGATCTCAGGACCAGCGGTGGACAGAGGGTCTTGAGAAACTGGCCTGGCCCAGGTTCCTGCCTTCTGAGAGGGGTTTAGCACCGGACTGGCTGGCAACAAGAAAAGCCAACCCCCTCAAAACCAGCTTGCAGTGGGGTTCTGGGCTTCACATTCAGCTGTGATGTTCCCCAGAGGGCTGAACGCCAGGCACAGGGAGGACCCCTACTCCAGGCCCCCCAGGAGGCACAGGGAGGACCCCCTACTCCAGCCCCCCAGGAGGAGCTAGGGCTCCAGTTCTGACCAGCAGTGGGCAAAGGATCAGATACAAACTACATCCTGATTGGGAAAAGAAAGAAAAAGAGCTTTTATTTTAAAATGTGGCATTGCTGCTGTCTCCAGTCTTGTCCAGACTCTGTACTCTTTTTTTTTTTGGCGGGGGAGGGTGCGGACAGGGTCTTGCTCTGCCTCAAAAAAAAAACCCAGGCTGGAGTACAGCAATGCTTTCAGAGCTCACTGCAGCCCCAAGCTCCTGGGCTTAAGCAATCCACCTGTCTCAGCCTTCTGAACTGCTGGGATTAGAAGTGGGAGTCACTGTGCTTGGCTAGATTCTGTGCTCTTAACCACCCTGTTCTCCTGCCTTGCTGGGTTAAGTGATTTGGAGTCCAATAAATCTGGGTTAGGATCCCAGTTCCAGGCCAAGTACAGTGGCTCATACCTGTAATCGCAGCACTTCAGGAGGCCAAGGTGGGTGGATCACTTGAGGTCAGGAGTTGGAGACCACCCTGGCCAATATGATGAAATCCCATCTCTACTAAAAAAGTACAAAAATTAGCCGAACATGGTGGCACACACCTATAGTCCCAGCTACTTGGGAGGTTAGGCAGGAGAATCACTTGAACCCAGGAGGCGGAGGTTGCAGTGAGCTGAGATCGAGCCACTGCAGTTCAGCCTGGTGACAGGGCGAGACTCCATCTCAAAAAAAAAAAAAAAAAAGATGCCTGAGGGTATTCTTAGTTCTTGTGGGTGCATGTGTTGTGGACACAGCCCTGGGCACTGAAGAACCCAGCTATACTGCAGAGCAGTTGTGAGGCTTCCGGTAAATCATCTCCCGTTCGCTGGGTCTCAGCCTCCCCATCTGTGACAGGCCAGTGAGCTTCCATCTGTGTGAGTCCTGCCGCCCCTCAGACCTTGGAGGTGTAGACCCAAAGCCGATGGGCCAGGGGCTGCAGAAAGCAGATCCATCGGAGAACTGAGGTCCCCTCTCTTCAAGACACACCCTTTGACCAAACTGAAGTGAGTTGCTGTGGTATGAGCAGATTGGAAGTGGCCAAGGCAGTCGTCAAAGTGAGGACAGGGTGGCCTGGTGGGTCCCCGCGCCACTCATTCATTCACTCCACAAACACTTACTGAGCTCGCAGTCCATTCCGGGCCCTGAATGGGGCATCCAGCATAATCCCAGCCCTCAGGGAGCTTTCAGTGCTGCAGAGAACCTGCCCTGGAAGGTGACGAGCATTTTACAGATGAGGCATCTGGCGCTGAGAGAGGAAGTAACTTACTCAAGGTCAAGGGGCTGCAGGTAGTGGCATCTGGATGTGAAGGGGACCAGAGAGGAGACATGAAGGGGCCACGAGAACACAGACAGTGGGAGAGGTGAAGTTCCCGCTGGGCAGGACAGGAGGAGGATGAGTTCACTGAGCAGGGGTTATGCCTACTAGGCAGTGAGCCAGAGCGGGGGATGGTCTGAAGGACTGAGAGGGTGCGGAGCGTGGCAGTGCATACCTGTAGTTCCAGCTACTCGGGAGGCTAAGGTGGGAGGACTGCTGGAGGCTAGGAGTTCAAGACTAGCCTGGGCAACATATCAAGACCCCATCTCTATAAAATAGAATACTTCTTTTTTTTTTTGAGACAGAGTTTTGCTCGTTACCCAGGCTGGAGTGCAATGGCGCGATCTTGGCTCACGGCAACCTCCGCCTCCTGGGCTCAGGCAATTCTCCTGCCTCAGCCTCCCGAGTAGCTGGGATTACAGGCACGCGCCACTATGCCCAGCTAATTTTTTGTATTTTTAGTAGAGATGGGTTTTCACCATGTTGACCAGGATGGTCTCGATCTTTTGACCTTGTGATCCACCCGCCTCGGCCTCCCAAAGTGCTGGGATTACAGGCTTGAGCAACCGCGCCCAGCCAACACTCTTTTTTTTTTTTTTGAGACTGTGTCTCCCTCTGTCGCCAGGCTGGAGTCCAGTGGTGCAATCTCGGCTCACGGCAACCTCTGCCTCCTGGATTCAAGCGATTCTCCTGCCTCAGCCTCCCAAGTAGCTGGGACTACAGGCTCGAGCCACAGTAGAGACGGGGGTTTCACCATGTTGGCCAGGATGGTCTCGATCTCTTGACTTTGTGATCCATCTGCCCGAGCCTCCCACAGTGCTGGGAAATCAGTCGTGAGCCACCGTGCCTAGCCAGGTTTTCTTTTAAGGGAAAATTAGAATGGCCCCATAATTACTCACAAATTGAATCTTTTCTCCCTCAGCTTTATTGCAGTATGATTGACAAAGAAAAATTGTATATATTTAAGATGTGTAGCAAGATGTTTTCTTAAAAGTCTACATTCCAAAATTAGTACAAAGTAATTAACATATCCATCTCCTCATAGTATTACAATTTTGTGCGCCTGTGGTGAGAACAATTAAGATCTACTCTCTTAGCAAATTTTAAGTATAATATCCAATACACCAATACACTGTTAATATAGTCACCATGTTGTTGTACACCAGGTCTCCAGATCTTTGTTTGTTAGTTTGTTTTGAGACAGACTCTTGCTCTGTCGCCCAGGCTGGAGTGCAGTGGCACAATCTCACTCACTGCAACCTCTCCTCCAAAGTTCAAGCAAGTCTCCTACCTCAGCCTCCTGAATAGCTGGGATTACAGATGTGTGCCACCACACCAGGCGAATTTTTGTATATTTAGTAGACACTGGGCTTAGCCGTGTTGCCCAGGCTAGTCTCAAACTTCTGACCTCAAGTGATTCGCCTACCTCAGCCTCCCAAATTGCTGGGATTACCGGAGTGAGCCACCATGCCCAGCCTCAGGTCTCCAAACCTTGTACATCTTATAACAAAACGTTTGTACCCTTTGACGAACATCGCCACTGTTTCCCTGCCCCACCAGCCCCTGGTAACCTGTACTTTACTCTGTTTCTATGAGTTTGACTTTTTTAGATTCCACATATAAGTAAGATCATGGGGTATTTCTCTTTCTGTGCTTGGCTTATTTCTCTTGGCATAATGTCCTCCAGATTCATCCATGTTGTCACAAATAGCATGTTTTCTTTCTTTCCTTTTATTATTTTATGTATTTATTTTATTTTTTGAGACTGAGCCTCATTCTATTGCCCAGGCCGGCGATCATGGCTCACTGCAACTTCCACCTCCCGGGTTCCAGTGATTCTCCTGCCTCAGCCTCCAAAGTAGCTGGGATTACAGGTGCGTGCTACCATGCCCAGCTAATTTTGGTATTTTTATTAGAGACAGGGTTTCACCATGTTAGCCAGGCTGATCTCAAACTCCTGACGTCAGGCAATCTGCCCGCCCTGGCCTCCCAAAGTGCTGGGGTTATAGGCGTGAGCCACCATGCCTGGCCCTTTTCAAAATTTATTTATTTATTTATTCTGAGACTGAGTCTCGCCCTGTTGCCCAGGCTAGAGTGCAATGGCACGATCTCAGCTCACTGCAACCTCCACCTCCTGGGTTCAAGCGATTCTTCTGCCTCAGCTTCCCAAGTAGCTGGGATTACAGGTATGTTCCACCATGCCCAGCTACTTTTTTGTATTTTTAGTAGAGATGGACTTTCACCATGTTGGCTGAGCTGGTCTCGAACTCCTGACCTTGCGATCTGCCTACCTCACTCAGTCTTCCAAAGTGCTGGGATTACAAGCGTGAGCTACCACACCTGGATTTTAATTTTTATTTATTTATTTATTTATTTTTGAGATGGAGTCTCAGTCTGTTGCCCAGGTTGGAGTGCAGTGCTGTGATCTCAGCTGACTGCAACCTCCGCCTGCCGGTTTCTAGTGATTCTCCTGCCTCAGTCTCCCAAGTAGCTGGGATTACAGGCACATGCCACCATGCGTGAATTATTTTTGTATTTTTGTAGAGACGTGGTTTCTCCATGTTGGCAAGCCTGGTCTTGAATTCCTGACCTCAGGCGATCCACCTGCCTCAGCCTCCCAAAGTGCTGGGATTACAGGCATGAGCCACCTTGCCGGCCTAAATTCTTTATGCATCCAGGGTCTCTGTGTGTTCTTAGGCTGGTCTTAAACTTCTGGCCTCAAGTGATCTTCCTACTCTGGCCAACACTGTGAAACCTTGTCTCTACTAAAAATACAAAAAATTACCTGGTGTGGTGGCGTGCACCTGTAATCCCAGCTACTCGGGAGGCTGAGGCAGGAGAATCACATGAACCTGGGAGGCGGAAGTTGTAGTGAGTGGAGATCATACCACTTCACTCCAGCCTGGGCCACAGAGCAAGACTCCGTCTCAAAAAGAAAAAAAAAGAAAGGCCAGGTATGGTGCCTCATGCCTATAATCCCAGTACTTTGGGAGGCCTAGGCAGGAGGACTGCTTGAGCCCAGGAGTTTGAGACCAACCTGGGCAACATAGAAAGACTCCATCTCTACAGAACTTTTTAAATAAAATTAGCCCGGTGTAGTGGCATGCACCTGTGGTCTCAGCTAGTCAGGAGGCTGAGGTGGAAGGATCATTTGATGGCGGAAGTCTGGGTGGTTGAGGCTGCAGTGAGCTGTGCACTTCAGCATAGGCAACACAGCCAGATCTTGTCTAAAAAAAAAAAAAAAGAAAAGAAAAAAGCAAATTAACAGGTATTAATCACCTACAACATGCCAGGCAGGATTTCAGTGCAGCGAATGAAACAGACCAAAGTCTCTGCCTTCCCGCAGCTCACATTCTCCTGAAAGAGACACACGTGAGACACTAAGCAACAAATAAGAGAATTACTCTGGCCAGGCGCGGTGGCTCCTGCCTGTAATCCCATAATCCCAGCACTGTGGGAGGCCGAGGCAGACGTGTCACTTGAGGTCAGGAGTTTGAGACCAGCTTGGCCAACATGGAACCCCATCTCTACTAAAAATACAGAATTATTTGTATTGGCACATGTTGGCGCATGCCTGTAGTCCTAGCTACTCTGGAGGCTAAAGCAGGAGAATCTCTCAATCCCTGGAGGCGGAGGTTGCAGTGAGCCAAGATTGTGCCATTGCACTCCAGCCTGGGTAACAGAGACACCGTCTCAAAAAAGAAAAAAAGGAAATAGAACCTTCCTGGTCTTCTCCTGGGTACTGGATGTCTAGGATGATGCACAGAGCCTGTCCCAGCTCTCAAGATTTGTCCAGTCGGGGGCCCCTGAGGCCCAGGCAGGCACAGCACCCCCACCCCAGGTGGCCATGATGCAACGTTGCCCATCTGTGTGCCACCAGGGAAAGGAACACAGGTCTGGAAGAAGAACGGAGCCATCTATGAAGGGGACTGGAAGTTTGGGAAGCGAGACGGCTATGGCACCCTCAGCCTTCCTGATCAACAGACAGGAAAGTACAGGAGAGTCTACTCAGGCTGGTGGAAAGGTGATAAGAAATCGGTAAGTAGGGCTGCCAGCCAGGCTGTGTGTGTGTGTGTGTGTGTGTGTGTGTGTGTGTGTGTAGGGGGAGCTGAGAGAGGCCTGGGAGAAAAGGGAGGGGAGGTCTACCGGGAGGAGGACAAGGTTGTGGTGTGTGTGGGAGAAGGAAGGGGTGGGGGAATTGCAAAGTTTCTCAGAACAAAACCCAGGAAACAGGAAGCAAGAGAAGGCCAGGGAGGAGCCCAAGAAACCCTGTGGTTGCAGGAGCCAGCCAGGCTTGTGGGGACGAAGTCTGCTCCACCCTCTTCCCCCTGGTTTCCTGGCTTTCTTTTCCCGGGCATCTCTTTCTGAGAATCCCCCTTCTGCTGGGCCTGAATAAAAGAGGAGGTAGGAAAAATGGAAGCAAGAGGGCAGAGGATGAGAGAGTTGGGTCCCAGGGGGCAGAAGCCAGCCAGAGGCGCGTGCTCAGCCCAGAAACACCCAAGCTCGGCACAGGGTCCGTCTACCTACTTCCACAAGTGTGGATGAATCCTCACCATCGGCCCCGGGGACACTAATAAGAAACAGTATTGCAACTGAACAACTACTATTGTGAGCCTGAACCACACAGGTAATACTTCAGTTCACTCTCACAGCAACGGCTCATCATCATCATCACGCCCATTTTACTGATAGGCAAACAAGCTTGGAGAGATGAGGTATCTTGTAACCACCCAAGGGGTTCACCCTGCCCGCTGCCTAGACAGAGCCGATTCATCAAGACAGGGCAGTTGCAATAAAGAAAGAGTAACTGACACAGAGGTGGCTGTGTGGGACACCTGAGTCGCATTGTTACTCCAGTCAGCCTCCCCGAACATTCTGGCAGCAGAGTTTTTAAGGATAACTTTGGTGGGTGGGGGGAAGACAGTGAGCCAGGAGTGCTGATTGGTCAAAGATGAAGTCACAGGGAGTCAAAGCTGTCTTCTTGCCCTGAGTCAGTTCCTGGGTGGGGGCCACAAGATCACCTAAGTCACTTTATTGATCTGGGTGGAGCCAGCTGATCCATCCAGTGTACAGTCTGCAAAATATCTCCAGCGCTGATCTTAGGAGCAGTTTGGGGAGGGTCAGAATCTTGTAGCCTCCAGCTGCATGACTGCTAAACCAAAATTTCTAATCTTGTAGCTAATGTTAATCCTACAAAGGCAATCTAGTCCCCAGGCACGAAGGAGGTCTTTGGGAACAGGCTGTTACTGTCTTTGTTTAAACTTTAAGTTTCTCCCAAAGTTAGTTCAGCATAAGCTCAAGAATGAACAAGGATAGCTTGGAGGTTAGAAGCAAGATGGAGTCGGTGAAGTTAGGTCTCTTTCGCTGTCTCAGTCATCGCTTTGCAAAGGCGGTTTCAGTCTTTCCCGGAGTCACACAGCTAGCAAGTAGCCAGGGTTCCATGTTCTCTGCTCCCAAATTTATTGGCTAATAGGAAGAGAAAGTCCCAAATAACCAGTTTACGTAGAATATGGTGTTAGGAGAGTTGTTTTCACAGAGTGCCCACAGGAGAGTCATTAAGCCCAGCCTAGGAAATTCGAGGCAGAATGCTAGACACGGTGGCTCACCCTGTAATCCCAGTTCTTTGGGAGGCTGAGGCGGTTGGATCACTTGAGGTCAGGAGTTTGAGACTGGCCTGGCCAACATGGTGAAACCCCCGTCTCTACTAAATAAAAATACAAAAGAAAATTAGCTGGGCACAGTAGTGCGCACCTGTATTCCCAGCTTGGAAGACAGAGGCATGAGAATTGCTTCAACTTGAGAGGCAGAGGTTGTAGTGAGCTGAGATCATGCTGCTGCATGCCTGCCTGGGCAACAGAGCAAGACTCCATCTCTAAATAAATAATATTATGTAATAATAATAATTAGCTGTACGTGGTGGTGCACATCTGTAGTCCCAACTTCTCGGAAGCCTGAGGCAGGAGGATTGTTTGATCTCAGGAGGCTGAAGCTGCAGTGAGCTATGGTGGTGCCACCACACTCCAGCCTGGACAGCAGAGCAAGACTTGTCTCAAAAAGAGGGAATTCAAGGCCGGGTGCGGTGGCTCACACCTGTAATCCAAGCACTTCGGAGGCCAAGGTGGGTGGATCACCTGAGGTCAGGAGTTCAAGACCAGCCTGACCAAGATGGTGAAACCCCATCTTTATAAAAAAAAGAGGGAATTCAGGCCAGGCATGGTCATTTATGCCTGTGATCCCAGCATTTTGGGAGGTCAAGGTAGGAAGATCACCCGAGGTCAGGAGTTTAAGACCAGCCTGGCCAACATGGTGAAACCCCGTCTCTACTAAAAATACAAAAATTAGCCAGGCATGGTGGTGGACGCCTGTAACCCAGTTACTCAGGAGGCTGAGGCAGGAGAATGCTTGAACCTGGGCGGCAGAGGCTGCAGTGAGCCGAGATAGCACCACTGCACTCCAACTTGGGTACAGAGTGAGACTCCATCTCAAAAAACAAAGAGGGAATTTAGGGCAGGCTTCCTGTAGGAGGTGACACTAAAAGATGTTAGGAATTAGCCAGGAAGAAAAAATGGGGAGGATGGGAGGCAAAAAATAGCAAAGGAAACGAGATGTCAAACAGTAGTGTGTGTCTGCCCTGGAGCAGGAGTAAGGAAAAGGGCCTTCAAGGACATGTGGGAAATGAGGATTTTGAGGAGTAGGCTTGGCTCCTCAATCCAACCTCCTTGGGTATGATCTGCAAAAAGACCTTGTTTCCCTGTGGTTGGACACTAAGTATGGTGTTCTCTTTCTTTCTTTTTTTTTTTTTTTTAGACAGTCTCTCCCTCTGTCGCCCAGGCTGAAGTGCGATGGTGCGATCTTGGCTCACTGCAACTTCCACCTCCCCAGTTCAAGTGATTCTCCTGCCTCAGCATCCTGAGTAGCTGGGATTACAGGTGCACACTACCACGCATGGCTGATTTTTGTATTTTTTGGTAGAGATGGGAGTTTCAGCATGTTGGGCAGGCTGGTCTCAAACTCCGAACTCGGTGATGCACCCACCTCAGTCTCTCCAAGTGCTGGGATTACAGACTTGAACCACCGAGCCTGGCTATCTACGGTGTTTCTGTTCATTTTTCTGGGTCAAAATAAGAGTGGGATGGGGGCAAGCTTAATCCAATGGGTGATTTTTTATTTTTATTTTTTGAGACAGGTTCTCACTCTGTCACCCAGGCTACAGTGCACTGGTGGGATCTCAGCTCACTGAAACCTCCATCTCTCCAGTTCAAGCTATTCTTCTGCCTCAGCCTCCCGAGTAGCTGGGATTACAGGCCCTGTCCACCATGCCCAGCTAATTTTCTATTTTTAGTAGAGACAGGGTTTCACCATGTTGGCCAGGCTGATCTTGAACTCCTGACCTCAAGTGATCTGCCCATCTCAGCCTTCCAAAGTGAGCCCGTGAGCCACTGCACCCGTCTTAGATGGGCGATTTAAAGAATCCTCTGGTGCTGTAGGGGCTGCATGGTGCACAGTGGGATGGGGATGAGGGAGGAGGGGGTGGTCAGTGAGGAAGGAGCTTAATGACCGGCTGCATGGAGGTGGCCACAGAGGCACAGAGAGAAAGGGACAGCATGGAGAGATCCTTCAAAACACGATAGGCAGGCTCGGTGGCTCACACCTCTAATCCCAGCACTTTGGGAGGCTGAGGAGGGTGGATCACTTGAAGTCAGGAGTTCCAGACCAGCTTAGCCAACATGGTGAAACCCTGTCTCTACTGAAAATACAAAAATTAGCCAGGTGTGGTGGTGCGTGCTTGTAATACCAGCTACTTGGGAGGCTAAGGCAGGAGAATCACTTAAACCCAGGAGGCAGAGGTTGCAGTGAGATGAGATCACACCACTGCACTCCAGCCTGGGTGACAGAGCAAGACTCTCTCTCAAAAAAAAAAAGGCATGACCCTCCGCTAAGACACGACCCTCTGCTTGGACATAGGGCTGAGGAAGAAGAAGGAAGACGCTGGGCTGTGTGGTTCTGGGGTGCCTGGGAAGATGACGGGCTTTCCTGGTGTGGGGGATGGCGCCCTAAGCAGGAGCATCTTCGTGCTTTCAGGGTTATGGGATCCAGTTTTTCGGACCCAAGGAGTATTATGAGGGTGAGTGGTGTGGCAGCCAGCGCAGCGGGTGGGGCCGCATCTACTACAGCAACGGCGACATCTACGAGGGACAGTGGGAGAAGGACAAGCCACACGGGGAGGGCATGCTGCGCCTAAGTGAGTGCCCTGCCCTCTCAGGGCCCGCCCACCCGACCACGCCCCTGGTAGCAAGCTGGCCAGGCCCACCTGGTCCCACAGGGACATGCCACACCCGGCATAGCCCTTGCATCAGTTGGGACCAGAGAGGAAACGGACCCCATCCCTCCCCTCAAAGAGCTTGTACTTTACTAGGGGAGCCTAACGATAAATACATAACTGAGAATGTCTTGGGATCATCATAATCATAGCCAACACTTATATGTACTGGGCTCATTTAATCCTCACCACAGTCCCATAAGATAGGTGCTTTTAGGCCGGGCATGGTGGCTCACGCCTGTAATTCCAGCACTTTGGGAGGCCGAGGCAGGTAGATACCTGAGGTCGGGAGTTCGAGAGCAACCTGACCAACATGAAGAAACCCCATCTCTACTAAAAAAAAGTACAAAATTAGATGGCTGTGGTGGCACATGCCTGTAACCCCAGCTACTCAGGGGACTGAGGCAGCAGAAACACTTGAATCCGGGAGGCAGAGGTTGTGGTGAGCCAAGATCGTGCCATTGTACTCCAGCCTGGACTATAAGAGCAAAACTTCATCTCAAAAAAATAAAAATAAATAATAATAAAGAAATAAAAAAGATAGGTGCTCTTATCATCCCTTCTTTACAAAGGGACTGACACGGAGCTGAAGTCACTCGCTCCAGGTCACACTGTCTGGGCTGTGGGGTAAATGTGCTAACATTTCTCCTTAGGAAGCAGGACGGCCTGTTGGGAAATGATGACAGAATTTGGGGCAGGGCCCATTTAACTTGACTTATGGTCAGGGAATGCCGCCCTCAAGAGGGTGCGTTGGGTTTTTGTTTTTGATTTTGCGACCAGTTCTCTGTCACTTAGGCCGGAGTGCAGTGGCGCGATCTCAGCTCACTGCAACCTCTGACTCCCAGCTCCCAGCAAGTCTCCTGTACCAGCCTCCCGAGTAGATGGGATTAGAGGCGTGTACCACCATGCCCAGCTAATTTTTTTTTTTGTATTTTTTTTAGTAGAGACAAGGTTTCATTCACCATGTTGGTCAGGCTGATCTCAAACTCCTGACCTCAAGTGATCCACCTGCCTCGGACTCCCAAAGTGCTGGGATTACAGGCGTGAGCCACTGTGCCTGGCCCAGAGGGTGCATTTGAATATTTGAAAGGAGACCCAAAGGAGGAGAAGTAGCTGGATTTTTTTTTTTTTTTTTTTTTTTTTGAGACAGGTCTCACTCTGTCACCCTGGCTGAAGTGCAGTGTGGCAATCTCAGCTCACTGCAGCCTCAATTTCCTGAGCTCAAGCCATCCTCCCACCTCAGTCTCCTGAGTAGCTGGGACTATAGGTGCACACTACCATGCCCAGCTAATTTTTAAAAAATTGTTTTTGCAGAGATGGGGTCTCACTATGTTACTCAGGCTGGTATTGATCTGCTGGGTTTATAACCCTCCCATCTTGGCCTCCCAATGCGTTGGAGTTGCATTGAGCTCTGTAAGAACGACCCCCTGGGGGTCTAGCCTAGTTTTGTGTACCCCGAACCACAGCTCCCTGTCCTTTCCCCAGAGAACGGGAACCGCTACGAGGGCTGCTGGGAGAGGGGCATGAAGAACGGACCGGGGCGTTTCTTCCATCTGGACCACGGACAGCTGTTTGAAGGCTTCTGGGTGGACAATATGGCCAAGTGCGGGACAATGATCGACTTTGGGCGTGATGAGGCCCCTGAGCCTACTCAGTTCCCCATTCCTGAGGTGGGCAGCCCTCCCCAGGGCCCTGTGGCCACACCCAGACAGAGACAGAGGCCAGCACCCTGAGCCATGTCCAGCCCAGACCTGCCAGGCCCAGCCCAGCCCAGACAGGGAACAGACAAGGTTTTGTTTTCAGTCAGGGCATCCCTATGAAGGGAAGTGGCTCCTGATCATGCTGGCAGCATCCCATGGGGCAGGCAGCGCCAGTCAAGGCTGGCAGCCTGGGTCCTCCACGTTCTCCAAACCAACCCCTCGCTGTTTCCTTCCAGGTCAAAATCCTAGACCCTGATGGTGTGCTGGCAGAAGCCTTGGCCATGTTCAGGAAGACAGAGGAAGAAGGAGATTGATGCTGGGTGAAGGGTGGGCACGCCTGCCATGCTCTTCCGTGGCTGAGGCTGCTCCAGGGCCGGGATCAATGCACACATCTCCTGGGGTCTCCAAAGGGCTCGGGATGGGGGCGCGGGGGAGCAAGACCAGAGAGGGCAGTCTTCTTGCCTTCTATGTTCCAGTGTGGTTTTTGGCTCTTCCTCTTCAAACCCCCTTTTGGCCAGGTGTGGTGGCTCACGCCTGTAATCCCAACACTTTGGGAGGCCAAGGCAGGTGGATCACTTGAGGTCAGGAATTCGAGACCATCCTGGCAAACATGGTGAAACCCCATTTCTACTGGTAGCAGGCGCCTGTAATCCCAGCTGCTTGGGAGGCTGAGGCAGGAGAATTGTTTGAACCCAGGAGGCAGAGATTGCAGTGAGCCGAGATCGTGGCATTGCACTCTAGCCTGGGCGAGAGAGTGAGAGTCCGTCTCAAAAACAACAAAACTCAAAACTGATTTCACTGAAGACCAGTGCATTCCAGGTCCACCCAGAACCTTCTGTTTGTACCCTGGGCCACGTCACTGGGCTGGGCACAGGTTGGAAGGAGGTGGTCTGTGGGCTTCTGAAGGCCCTTGAGTAAGGCGGTTGGCCTCGGGCTTCCATTTCATATCTGTCCAGTGGGGCCTTGTCTAGTCCAAGCCCCTCCTGAGCACGATGTGAGGGTTTGAGGAGAGGGCCTTGGTACAGTGAATTTCTAATGGCAGCTCCACCATTCCCCTCTCTCCCCTGCAGAGAACACCGACGCTTCAGGAGAAATTCAAGTCCGTGTCACCCAGTCATTCAGATCAGTGCAGCTCTGGCTGGAAGAGTCAGCAGTGGCTCTGCACAAACCTGGCACCCTCAGAGGGCCCCTCACTCCCCCAAGCACTGGGTAGTTTCTTGCCAATAGGAAGGCCAGTGCTTCTCTCCCAGGCTGGCCTTGGGACCCTCTTGCGGCCTTCGTTTTCTGATCTCATCCTGCAGTGCATGAGAATAAAGAGCCAGGTGGTGTAAGCCCGGGCCTGTGGTGTGAGGGTGGGCATGCAAGGGGGCACAGGAGGGGTTTCAGGTGGGGAAAGACATCCCCTGGCTGGGCTGCCTGGGCTTAGCTTGGGGAGGAGGTCTTAGGCCGGGTGCACTGGCTCATTCCTGCAACCCCAGCACTTTGGGAGGCCAAGGCAGGAGGGATCACTTGAGGCTGGGAATTCAAGACAAGCCTAAGCAACATAGCAAGATCCTGACTCTACAGAAAAGAATTTTTTTTTTTTTTGAGATGGAATCTCGCTCTGTCATCAGGCTGGAGTGTAGTGGCGTGATCTTGGCTCACAGCAACGTCTGCCTCCCGGGTTCAAGCGAATCTCCTGCCTCAGTCTCCCGAATAGCTAAGACTACAGGTGCACGCCACCACATCCAGCTGATTTTTGTATTTTTAGTAGAGACAAGGTTTCACCATGTTGGCCAGGATGATCTTGATCTCTTGACCTTATGATCCGCCTGCCTCGGTCTCTCAAATGGTGGGATTACAGGCATGAGCCACTGCATCTGGCAAACAAAAAAATTTTAAAAATATAAAAGAAAGGAAAAGAAAGGGCTGGGTGTGGTGGCTCATGTTTGTAATCCCAGCCCTGTGGGAGGTTGAGGTGAGCAGATCACAAGGTCAAGAGATCGAGATCCTGGCCAACGTGGTGAAACCCCATCTCTACTGAAAATACAAAAATTAGCTGGGTGTGGTGGCACGGGCCTGTAATCCCAGCTACTTGGGAGGCTGAGGCAGGAGAATCACTTGAACCAGGGATGCAGAGGTTGCTGTGAGCTGACATCTTGTCACTGCACTCCAGCCTGGTGATAGAGCAATGAGACTCCATCTAAAGAAAAAAAAGAAAAGAAAAAGCAAAAGAAATGGCAGGTGCCCTGTGATATAACCCAAAGAAAACCTGCATCCTGCCACCGAGATTACAGATTAAAATTTCCTGACCACCTCTCAACCTAACACAGGGCTCTCAACCTTGAAATCCCATGGAAACTTTACAAAGCTAGGGAAGCCCAGGTCCCATGCCCAAAGATTCACATCTAATTCATCTGGGGTGAGGCCTGAGCTTCCAGAAAGTTCCCTAGGGAATTTTTTTTTTTTTTTTTTTGAGACCAAATCTGGCTCTGTCGCCCAGGCTGGAGTGCAGTGGCTCAATCAAGGCTCACTGTAACCTTTACCTCCCAGATTCAAGTGATTCTCCTGCCTCAGCCTCCTCAGTAGCTGGATTACAGGGGTGCACCACCACACCCGGATAATTTTTGTATCTTTAGCAGAGATGGGGTTTCACCAGATTGGTCAGGCTGGTCTCCAACTCCAGACCTTGTGATCTGCCTGCCTCAGCCTTCCAAAAAGTGCTGGGATTACAGACGTGAGACACTGCGCCCGGCCTGATTTATTTATTTATAGACAGAGTCTCGCTGTGTCTCCCAGGCTGGAGTGCAATGGCGCGATCTCGGCTCACTGCAACCTCCGCCTCCTGGGTTCAAAGGATTCTCCTGCCTCACCCTCCCAAGTAGCTGGGACTACAGGCACCTGCCACCACGCCCGGCTAATTTTTTGTATTTTTAGTAGAGATGGGGTTTCACTGTGTTAGCCAGGATGGTCTCGATCTCCTGATCCCATGATCCGCCTGCCTTGGCCTCCCACAATACTGGGATTACATGAGCCACCACATCTGGCTATTATTTATTTTTTTGAGACAGAGTCTCACTGTCACCCAGGCTGGAGTGCAGTGGCATGATCTTGGTTCACTGCAACCTCCGTCTCCTGAGTTCAAGCGATTCTCCTGCCTCAGCCTCCTGAGCAGCTGGGATTACAGACACCTACCACCATGCCTGGCTAATTTTTTGTATTTTTAGTAAAGATGGGGTTTCACCGTGTTGGCCAGGCTGGTCTCAAACTCCTGACCTCAGGTGATCCACCTACTTCTGCCTCCCAAAGTGCTGGGGTTATAGGCATGAGCCATCATTCCCCACCCCCAGGTGATTTTAATGTGGAGCTGGCTCTGGGAATGCCTGATTTACTGTCTGTGTGGCCTTGAGCAAGTGACCTCCGTTGCCCCATCTGTAGAATGGGACTCAGGAGAGCTCACAGGAGTCTTCGGAGGCTTTGCTAACAGATGTCATCATGAATATCACGTATGGGGGTTAACTGTGGATCGGATACCAGGGAAGAGCAGGACAGCATTCCTGAAGGATCAGATGTTCTCCTGCACAATGGGCAGGTGAGCTCTGGATTCATACTGCCTGGGTGTGAATCTCGGAACTGTGTGTTCCTGGGAACGTCACCCAAACTCTGTTCTCTAGGTCTCCTCACTAGCAATATGGGGCATTCACAGTACTGGCCACCTGGGGTTACTGTGGTTAGTTACTGTGAGGGTGAGATAAGGTCGTGGTTTTAAATGGGGGGTATGGTTTTGTCCTCCCTGACCCCCACTCTTCCTTGGGGACATTTGGCAATGTCTGACATTTTTGGCGTCACAACTGGCAGGAAGAAGGCTATGGCTTTGAGTGAGTAAAGGCCAGGGCTGCTTTTAAATGTGGTGCAATGTCACCATGCTACCAAAAAAAAAAGCCATTCAGCACTTGTAATGCCCGCTACTCAGGAGGCTGAGGCAGGAGAATCACTTGAACCAGCCTCAAAGGTTGCAGTGAGCCGAGATTGTGCCACTGCACTCCAACCTGGACAACAGAGCAAGACACCATCTGAAAAAATAAAGTTGGAGTTGAGAGACCCTGAAATACCATGATTCCAGCTAAGACCTCAGCAAGAAGCACACAGCACATAGTAAAGCCTCAGTAAACAGCACTGACCTCACTGAGGTTCTCTCTGACCCCTATGTCATAAGTGGGGTGGCTTCACTCAGGGTGTGGTTCTCAGTCTGTACTTTTGACACCGGAAAGCCCCATCTGGACACCCTAGGATGAAGAATCAATTGTAACTTCCAGATATGGAGGGCTCACTCTATTCCAGGCCCTGTGCTCACAGCTTCTCAGCAAGCTTTCTTTCCTGGGACTCCTCAACAACAGTGAGGTGTCTTGCTATTTATTAGTGCCATTTTAGAGGAGGACACTGAGGTTCAGGGAGGATCACAAGTCATCAAGCTAGTACTGTGCTTAAATTTAGATCTAGATGCTTTTTTTTTTGATGGAGTTTCACTCTTGTTACCCAGGCTGGAGTGCAATGGCGCGATCTCAGCTCACCACAACCTCCGCCTCCTGGGTTCAGGCAATTCTCCTGTCTCAGTCTCCTGAGTAGCTGGGATTACAGGCACATGCCACCATGCCCAGCTAATTTTTTTTTTTTGAGATGGAGTTTCGCTGTTGTTACCCAGACTGGAGTGCAATGGCACGATCTTGGCTCGCTGCAACCTCCGCCTTCTGGGTTCAAGCAATTCTCCTGGCTCAGCCTCCCGAGTAGCTGGGTCTACAGGCGCGCACCACCATGCCCAGCTAATTTTTGTATTTTTAGTAGAGACGGGGTTTCACCTTGTTGACCAGGATGGTCTCGATCTCTTGACCTTGTGATCCACCCGCCTCAGCCTCCCAAAGTGCTGGGATTATAGGCGTGAGCCACCGCACCCGGCCTAATTTTTTGTATTTTTAGTAGAGATGGGGTTTCACTATGTTGACCAGGCTGGTCTCGATCTCCTGACCTCGTGATCCACCCGCTTCGGCCTCCCAAGGTGCTGGGATTACAGGCTTGAGCCACCGGGTGCTCTTTTTCTTTTCTTTTCTTTTCTTTTCTTTTTTTTTTTTTTTTTACTGTCGGGCGGTTGGTTAGCTCACCAACTGAGCTAACCGGCTGCCCGACAGATCTAGCTGCTCTTAAGGTGCAGAAGAGTGTATATAAAGGGTCACCATTTTTGAAGAAATAGTGGGAAGAGGGTGTGCTTGTTTATGTGTAAAATGTCACTAGATTTCAACACAATAAACTGGCAAAGATGGTTGTCTCTGGGGAGAGTTGGGGACTTGGGAACAGGAGCTGAAGAACAACTTCTTTCTGTTGTGTTTGGAACCAAGTGAATGTATTATGTATTCAAAACATAAGTAGCAGTGCAGTTAAGAGACTGCGCTCCCCGCCCGAGTTGCCTGGGTGTGAGAGTACCTGGGTGCTTGTTAGAAACAGATTCCAAAGTCACACCCAGACCTACTTGAATCAGAATCCTCCATGGGCTTTGAAACCTGCATTTGACAAGCCAGGCTGATGAGTCTTGAATCGAGGCCAGTTAAGGAAGGAGAACGCAAGACAACAGGATCCTAAGCCAGGAATGATTCCAGCTGGATCCCGAGTCTTTGCAGAAGTAGGGAGGCGGCTCTCTTAGAGGAATACACAAAAAAATGTTCAGGATGGCTGGGCGCGGTGGCTCACGCCTGTAATCCCAGAACTTTGGGAGGCCAAGGTGGGCGGATCACCTGAGATCAGGAGTTGGAAACCAGCCTGGCCAACATGGTGAAAGCCCATCTCTACTAAAGGTACAAAAACTGGCCAAGCATGGTGGCTCACGCCTGTAGTCCCAGCTACTCGGGAGTCTGAGGCAGGAGAATCACTTGAACCGGGGAGGTGGAGGTTGCAGTGAGCCAAAATCACACCACTGCACTCCAGCCTGGGTGACAGAGCAAGACTTGGTCTCAAAAAAAAGATGTTCAGGACTTCTCTGGGGAGCAGTGGGGGTTCACACAGGGGTCCCTGCCCTGTCTTAACTCTGTACCCTTCAGAAGTGTGGATTAGGTCTGGCACAGTGGCTCATGCCTGTGGTCCCAGCACTTTGGTAGGCCGAAGCAGGTGGATCCCATGAGGCCAGGAGTTCAAGACTAGCCTGGCCAACATGGTAAAATCCCCATCTCTACCAAAAAATACAAAAGTTAGGCAGAGGCAGGAGAATCGCTTGAACCTGGGAGGTGGAGTTTGCGGTGAGCCAAGACGGCACCATTGCACTCCAGCCTGGGTGACAAGAGTGAAACTGGTCAAAAAAAAAATGTGTTTAAATTTTCCCTTTTTGAGGCAGGGTCTCTCTCACCCAGGCTGGAATCCAGTAATACAATCAAGGGTCAGTGTAGCCTCTACCTCCCAGGCTCAAGTGATCCTCCCGCCTCCGCCTCCTGAGGAGCTGGGATTACAGGTGTACACCACCACTTCCAGCTAATTTTTGTATTTTTTGTAGAGACAGCGTTTCACCATGTTGCCCAAGCTGCTCTTGAACTCCTGGATTCAAGTCATCCACCTGCCTCAGCCTCCTAAAGTGCTGGGATTACAGGCGTGAGCATAACCACTTAATATATTAGGTCTCTGAGACAGATAGAAGTCTCAAACTCGAAGGCCTAATGAGGCCAAGAAATTCACATGAGTGAAGCTGGCTTGGTGTGAGACAAGAGGGAGTGGTGGAGACTGTGGAAAAAACAGGCCCTGGGAAAGAGGGTGGCTTCAGTGAAGCTGCTACTCATTGTAAGTGCACCTCTGTAAGAAGGTGGCCCCATGAGGTTGGGGCTTCCAACACTTTTTTTTTTTTTTTTTTTTTTGAGACGGAGTATGACTCTGTTGCTGGGAGAGCAGAGTGCAATGACACGATCTCAGCTCACTGCAACCTCTGCCTCCTGGGTTCAAGGCAGGATTTTCCTGCCTCAGCCTCCCAAGTAGCTGAGATTACAGGCATGTGCCACCATGCCTAGCTAATTTTTGTATTTTTAGTGGAGATAGGGTTTCACCATGTTGTCAAACTGGTCTCCAACTGCTGACCTCAGGTGATCCACCTGCCTCAGATTCCCACAATGCTGGGATTACAGGTGTCAGCCACCACTCCTGGCCCCCCAACATTTCAAGCAAAGCTAGAATCAACCCAGGTTAAGATATTTGTGAGGCTGAGCTCTGAGCCAGACTATCCAGTTTCAAATCCTGGCAATTTATTTAACTTCCACGGGCATGAATTTTGCCTTCTGCAAAATGGAGATAATAACAGTACCCACCATATAAGGGTACTGAGGGTTAAATGAGTTGATGCACAGAGTAGCAACTGCACATAGCGATTGTGTGTGTGCGTGAGACAGAGTTTCGCTCTTGACACCCAGGCTGGAGTGCAATGGTGTAATCTCAGCTCACTGCAAACTCTGCCTCCCAGGTTCAAGTGATTCTTCTGCCTCAGCCTCCCAAGTAGCTGGGATTACAGGTGTGCACCACCATGCCTGGCTAATTTTTGTATTTTTAGTAGAGATGGGGTTTCACCATGTTGGTCAGGCTGGTCTTGAACTCCTGACCTCAAGTGATCTGCCCGCCTTGGCCTCCCCAAGTACTGAGATTACTGTTGTGAGCCGCTGCACCCAGCCAATATTCTTAGGTTGTTATTTTTGAGACAGAGTCCCATTCTGTTACTCAGGCTGGAGTGCAATGGCATGATTACTGCTGACTGCAGGGTTGACTTCCCAGGCTCGTGCAGTCCTCCCACCTCAGCTCCTCAACTAGCTAGGACCACAGGTGCACCAGCATCATGCCCAGGTAGCCTTTGTGTTTTTCATAGAGATAGGGTCTCATCAAGGCACCTAGCCTGGTCTTGAACACCTGGGCTCAAGCGATCCTCCCATCTCAGCCTTCCTGTATTGTGATTACAGGTGTGAGTCACCATGCCCTGTTTATTATTTTAAATTAATCCTGATAAAAATCTCACTAGATAATATTCCTGCCAAAATGCATAATCTAATAATAAGAAAACATCTGGGCCAGGCATGGTGGTGCATGCCTGTAATGAGGTGGGAGGATTGATCTCTCGAGCCGGGAGTTTGAGAGTAGCCTGGACAGCAATCAGTCCTTGTCTCTACAAAAGGTGAGAAAAACTTAGCCGGGCAACATGGCAAAACCCTGTCTCTACAAAAAATATGAAAAGTAGCTGTGCACGGTGGTGCATACCTGTAGTCCTAGCTTTTTGGGAGGGGTGAGAGGATTGCTTGAGCTCTGGAGGTCAAAGCTGTAGTGAGCTGTGATCATGTCATTGTGCTCCAGCCTGGGTTACAGAGTAAGACCCTGTCTCTATAATAATCATACTAGTAACTTTTAAAAAGAGAAAGGCTAGCCTAGGTGCTGTGGTTCACAAATGCAATCCCAGCACTTTGGGAGGTCAAGGTGGGAGGATCCCTTGAAGCCAAGAGTTCAAGACCAGCCTGGGCAAGAGAGAGACTCCGTTTCTACAAAAATTACAAACATTATCTAGGCGTAGTGGCAGGTGCCTGTATTCCCAGCTACTCGGGAGGCTGAGGTGGAAGGATTGCTTGAGCCTAGGAGGTTGAGGCTGCACTCTAGCTCGGGTGACAGAGCAAGTCCCTGTCTCAAACACCAACAAATAAACAAACAAATAAAAAAGGCTGAGGAATTGTGAAATTAAAGGAGACTAAGGCCGGGTGCAGTGGCTCAAGCCTGTAATCCCAGCACTTTGGGAAGCCGAGGCGAGTGGATCACCTGAGGTCAGGAACTCAAGACCAGCCTGGCCAACAGGGTGAAATGACATCTCTGCTAAAAATACAAAAGTTAGCCAGGCGTGGTGGCGTACACCTGTAATCCCAGCTACTTGGGAGGATGAGGCAGGAGAATTACTTGAACCTGGGAGGCGAAGTTTGCAGTGAGCTGAGATCAGGCCACTGGACGCCAGCCTGAGCAACAAAGCAAGACTCTCTCTCAAAAAATAATAGTAATAGGCCGGGTGCAGTGGCTCATGCCTGTAATCCTAGCACTTTGGGAGGCCGAGGCAGGCAGATCACGAGGTCAGGAGATCAAGATGATCCTGGCCAATGTGGTGAAATCCCGTCTCTACTAAAATGCAAAAATTTAGCCAGGCGTGGTGGCATGCGCCTGTAGTCCCAGCTACTCAGGAGGCTGAGGCAGGACAATCGCCTGAACCCAGAAGGCAGAGCTTGCAGTGAGCCAAGATCGGGCCACTGTACTCCAGCATGGGCAACAGAGTGAGACTCTGTCTCAAAAAAAAACAAAATAAATAAATAAATAATAAAATAAAAATAATAAAGGAGACCAAGTGACATTGTGATACACAATCCTGAAGTGGAAAAGTTGTTGCTAGAAGGGACATTGCTGGGACATTTGGGAAACTGAACAGGAATGTGTAACCCATAATTGCATCAACATCAAATTTTCTGGATTTGATCCCTGGATTGTCATTATGTAGGGAAATGTCCTTAGTTTTAGGAGGAAGCATTTAGGTGTGAAGGACCATAGGGTAACTACAGCACACGGCTTAGGGCAGACAGACACATCCTCAGTCTGCAGTCTCAGTATCTGTGACCGGCAGCCTGCTAAGTGTCCTTTTCATGGTCTACTTGGTGTCATATTTTCCACATTTTTATGCTTTTTATTGATTTTGCCATTTATGATGGTTCCCAGCTGGCTGCAGTGGCTCATGCCTATAAACCCACTGCTTTGGGAGGCTGAGAGGAGAGAATCGCTTGAGTTCAGGAGTTCAAGACCAGCTTGGGCAACATAGCAAGACCCCATCTCGACAAAACTTTTTGTTACTTTTTTTTCACCACAAAGTATTCTCAGGATCAGCAAAACTAAAAAAAAAAAAAATTAGCTGGGCATGGCTGGGCACAGTGGCTCACACCTGTAATCCCAGCACTCTGGGAGGCTGAGGCAGGTGGATCACCTGAGGTCAGGAGTTCGAGACTAGCCTGGCCAACATAGTGAACCATCACCTCTACTAAAAATACAATTAGCAGGGCGTGGTAGCACGTGTGTGTAATCCCAGCTACTTGGGAGGCTGAGACAGGAGAATCACTTGAACCCAGGAAGCACAGGTTGCAGTGAGCTGAGATCACACCATTGCACTCCAGCCTGGGAAACAAGAGTGAAACTCTATCTCAAAAAAATTAATAAATAGCTGGGCATGGCAGTATGTGCCTGTAGTCTCAGCTACTTGGGAGGTGGCGTGACCAGAGCTCACAGAAGCAT